CGGAAGTTGCCTGGCAGGCATTGTAAACGTAGTCATTATGTCGGCAGTGAATAGGTCAAAGTGATAGGCTCGTTTTGAAATTTTCACCAACAGTACGATTTTTCAGTATTTAATTATTTGCAGCAATTTTAAAGATATCTTTCATCACATGATTGCTAATTGGTTGCTATGCGTCCACTGATATAATTCTGGCACTGAAATGGCACCAAAGCAAAGTTTTACAAATTGGAAACGTAAAGATAAAGTTTGTGAAATATGTAAATTGTCCCGAATATTAATAATGTTCGATGACTAATTTCGGCTCGGTTGGCGTTTTTCTGCTCAACTTTTTAATTGTATAATGTAAAAATGTTAACAGTATGATAACACTAAAACAGCAATTAATAATTTTTCGGAGACAAAATTTCCTGTAAAGATTTTAAAATTTGATAAAAGGCAAAGTTTAAAATAATGTTTCTTCAGCAATTAAATTTGAATTTTTCAGTGGACATTCCAGACTTATCCGACTTAAATTAGTGCGTTTTGAGTAGTTGGAAATCAAGGGCTTGACATGTTTTAAAAAATTTTAATTGCTCRGTTTATATTAATAATTTTGAGCCCTTGGCAACTCGAATATTGCAACGGCTCGACTCAAAAAAGAGCGCACGCAAAAATGTCATCAGAACTTTTTCTTTTCCGTTCTTAATTGATCATAAAACCGGAGGCTAATTATTGGTTTTCCATTAGCAGCTTATCACCTTTTTAGATTAAAAGTATCCGGTTTATATTAATAAATATGTTTTAACCGACTGACTTTCCCTTTCTAAGCCGCGTCTTATCACTTTTGTTAAATTAAAATTATCCTGATTATATTAATATTTTTTGCAGCACTCAACAACTCAAAGACTCGACTTWTATTTTCTATTCCAAAATGTGCTGTTAAAAAATCGTGATCTTTCAACTTTTTTAAGCTAAAAGTGTCCGATTTACATTAATTTAAGCACTTGCAACTCGAAAACTACATCCGATCGACTTTAATTAATTTTTTACTCGAAAACAGAACATTGCACAAAAATAGTCCCGAAACAATTTCTCGACCTAATTGATCATAAAATTGCAAACTGATTTTTGAAATAGGAAAAAATTAGCGGTTTTTCACGTTTTTTAATTAAAAGTGTTCGCATTATATTAAGATGTTTTGAGCACTTGGTAATTCGAATACTGCAACTGTTCAATTTTTACTGTTCTACTCGCAAACCGTGCATAGCACAAAAAAATGTCAAGAGACGTTTTCCATTTCTAATTGATCACAAAATTGGAAACACAGTTTTGCTTTAGAAAAAATCAGAGGCCAATCACTTTTCTAAACTAAAATCATCCGATTTACATTAATATTTTTGGCGCACTTAGCATCTCAAATAATGCGACGGTTCAACTTACATTTCTAAACTCAAAAACGGTGCTTCGCACAAAAAATGTCAAGAAACTTTTTTCTTCCTAATTGATCATGACATTGGAAACACATTTTTATTTTCGGAAAAATCACTTAGATTAAATTGTTTAAATTAAAATTATCCGGATTATATTAATATGTTTTGAGCACTTGCTCAAAACAAATCAAATGCTCAAGCCAACGGTTTAACTTTTATTTTTTAATCGAAAACGAAAACCACAAAAATACTAAATAGACCTTTCCTTTTCCTAATTGATCATAAAATCGGAAAATAAGTTTTAAATTAGAGAAAATCAGAGCCTTGTTAAATTTTAAATTTTTTAAGAAACCAGTTTATATAAATTTATTTGTTAAAACGGGTAGTCGCAGTAAATATGCCAAGAGTGCGTATTTTAAGTACCTATTCTTTTCCGAATTGATAAAACAATTTTAAAACTGTAAATTTAATTTTAAATCAAAGTTGTTTTAGTTAAAAATGATTAGAAATTAAATAGAATAAAAACTGAGACAATAATTCATAAAATGCCATAATGAAAATGTATTTTGTTAACTTTACTCACTTTCTTCTTATGCTCCAGTGCTTCTCCACTCAAAAATTTTTAACATAAAAATGATTATCTAAAGAGAATTTTTAAGTATGTATTAACAAAATTTTATGAGACATCGGGCTAAACAAGGCGGAATTATTAAAACGAAGGGAGTCAATGTTGTCAACTAACAGGCTTAAAAGCGCATGAAATGATGACGTATGATTAGTACGAGAGAAATATTCTTCTAAAATTGGCCAAAAAGTATGTAAAACATGTCTATTTTCACTACAGGGCATCATCATGATTTTTAACTAAATATAAAA